CGGGATGAAGGCAGACGCGGGGCAACAACGTCAAATGGTGAAGAAAATGCCCGATCGCAGTGCTCCTCCCGCGGTCCACGTGTAATAGAAATTGGGAAACACGATTTTTAAAAAACTCCCCTCAAATGCGAGAAACAAACAGTGAGACGGCATTTTGAAAACACTGCCTCACTTATAAGCTGCCCCAAACGGGCCCTAAGAATTCCACCTGGTTTTGACAAATAGCTGGCTCCCTATAATTTAGGTTTAATTTAACCTAAATTTACTACCACATTGCTCTTATTTTTGAACTGGAAAGAAACAAGAGCCTAATTTAAGTGTGTGGTTAGGCTCTTGCTTCTTTTCAGTTCAAAAATAAGAGCAATGTGATAGTAAATTTAGGTTAAATTAAACCTAAATTATAGGGAGCCAGCTATTTGTCAAAATCAGGTGGGATTCTTAATGTGCAATTCTAAGAAAGAGTCGGTTGGTTGTTTGAGAGAAATAAAGGAGGTAGTTGCTTTACCAACTATATGGAGAAGATCTTGGACATATTTCGCTTGGCTGAAAAAGAAACATTTTGGTGTGAGGTGTACTTGAATGTTGAGGAAATTAGAATTGTGTCCCAAATTTTTCATTTTGAAAGCTCATCATATATCATTAATGAGAGTGGAGATCATTGAGTACTGTTGCTCGTGATAAATATATTGTTCATATATATATGAGTATGTAAATCTGAATGCCAACATTGATGAGAAGAGATGGATCAGACATGATGGCCTTAAAGCCATAGTTAAGAAAATAGTTGGAGAAAGTGAGATAGGCGACAATTATTGAGTAAAAAATTAGTTTCTTGACGTTGGACAAAAATCCAACACACATAGACATATAAATAAGATAGAAGTAAAAATGAGGTGACACCTTATTTTTTTATATGAAAAATCATGTAAAGTGAAAAATCAGACTCACTCTTCTCCCGAGTTAGGGAAGATTGAATTACAAAGTTGACGTAAAATAATATTTTTAGCAATAACATCTGTAACGAGTTGCGAAACTTGTAGTTGAATGTTATGTAAGTATTAATCTATGAAGAATGTTGTAGACGGTAGTTGTAGTGCTAGCTTGTCATAGATATCATAATTGAAAGTCATGGTAGTAATTAGCCATGTGAGCCGTAGATGATTGCTTCGGAAACGTCGATTGGCCACAGAGGTCGTAGAAGGGAGCTGCAAAACCCACAAGCCACGTAGGTCATAGTTGGTTACATAGATCGTGGTGGTGAGTCGTGATAACGTTCATAAGCCACAAATGATAAAATTGGGAGTTGCATGAGTTGTGATAACATTCTTAGACCACAGAGTCTAGAGTTGGGAGCTACATAAGATGAGTTAACATTCGTAGGCAACGAAAGTTAGATTTTAGAGTTGTATGAGATGTAATATTGTTCGTAGGTTGCAGAGGATGTAATATGAGTTGTAGGTCATAGTTGGTCACATAGATCATAGTGGTGGTCTGCAATGAGAGAACTCAAGAGCCAATAAAAATCACCATATCGTGAGTATGATGATTGTAAGCAATTATTGTGGGGTGCATTGTTATATTGTCTTTGAGAGGTGTCTTTACACTATACGCGGGGCGCATCGTTGCACAATATTTAGGGTGCGTGTTCACCATCTTTGGGGTGTCGTGTAATGTATCCAGGGCAAATTGTGGCACCATATTCGAGATGCATCATTGCACTATATCTGAAGTGTGTTGTTACACTATCTTCGGGGTTTATTGTTTCATCATCTTTGGGATGCATCGTTGCACTACTCTGTAGGGTGTTACATAAGTTGTGATGTTGCAACGCTCGTGCTTCCGTAAGAGACTTTGTTGTAACAAGAAAGGTCAACAGACGTTGGTCGATCACTTTCGACGAGCAATGGTCAAAGATGACTGGTGGTTGCAAATGCGGGTGGCATTCATTGGTTCTTTTGTGTAGAAAGATGGATGTTAGCTCCTTCTCCTCCAAGTCTAGGGCTTGCTCCAATTCATGGTCTAGCTCTTTGCTCTCTTTCATAAAGGGGTAGGGCTCTATTTATATAGTCTAGGAGAAGTCTCCCATAAAATAAGGAAAGAATTTGAATTACTTCATCGGATGGCCCAAAAATATCCCCTTGATCAAACGATATTCTGCAGACATTCGAGTGTCTTAATACTGTCAGAATTTGATATTGGGCTTGTAGATTCGTGTCATCGAAATGCTTAATTTGATTATAAGCTCGACAGATTTGAAATTCATATGACCTTCTAATTGGACATTAGAATCATCCAAAAAAGGCTTCACAACTTGATTTGACTTGGATAGGAACAATTTTGATGTCATTGTGTTCATCTCGTCCAGCCACTCAGTTTGACTGTAAGTTTGCTGAAATTTGAGTCCTGGATAATTATTAATTGAACTTTAAATATTTTTAACTAAAAAATTATCACATGATTCGTGCTACACTAAAATTTTATTGATGAAGGATAGTTATGCATCCTCACTTGTCGGCATACTTAAGCCATGCATCATTAGTAACAGCGGATAAAATCTAGCCTCATCATTTCAATTATTTAAATCAGATTTTGAAACTATTATGACAGTTGCCACTTTGATATCGCGTTAATGCAAAGCCTTAACTCGAACTCTAAGTGATCAGCCTTTAAATGTTCTGCATGAATCCTAACGCTTATGTGCTCTTCGATCGTCATATCTCAAATTTTTTTATCACACTTAAATCAAATCAACTTCAACTGCTTCAAAATTGATGACAACTAAATTTTAATAAGAATATTAATCAAATGCCCAAATTTCCTCAACAATAGCTTCAAATTTTTGATCAAATATGTTCTCGAAATTTACTTAACTCAAATTAATCCTTGCGGATTCATTGTATTTAATGTGTAAAATAAATAGTAGGGCTTAGAAATCATAATAATAATAATAATTACAAAACTGAATAAATTTCTGAAATATTTGTTCAGTTTGAGTTTATTTTTGTTTAATTTCGTACCTATTTATATTTCCATAAATTTGATTTATGTATTATTTGATGCTTTGAAGATTTGAATAAAAAAATAAGGCAAGCCCGATTATATTATTACTGTTGATTTTTTTTTTTTGGGACATAACATTATGTATTATTCTCGATACCACACAATCTAGTATAAGATTCCGAATGGCTCTAATATCGTTAGGAAGGCAGGGGAAATACCGTGAAGAGCCTAATGAATTTCCCTCTCTTTCGTCAAAGAGAGTCTCGGCTCAACTTATTCGGTGATCGTCAATTTGGTTATTTCAGACAACCGGCCTGGTCTATCAATTCAGTATTTGTATGCAATTACTAAAATTTCAGGAGCATGCAATCAAAATTAATAATTTAATCCTCTATCAGTTTACAAACAATAAAACCTCTTTTTCTATCATTAATATATAGGACTCAAAACTTACCATTAACATATTTCAACCCCAAAGTTCCATATTTACAAAAAAAAAAGAAAAGGTCATTTGGTTGGAGTGGTGAGGGATCAAGTGCGGCCATAGGAGCGCAGGGACGACTGCTATGCTGTATGCAGAAAAGAGAAGATATCAAACAAAGATGGGTTTTACTGCAGTGAAGTGCTGACATAGATGCACATAAGAGAGGAGAAGGTGCGATGAAGGCGAGATGGCGAGGGTGCTGCACGGCTAGAAGGCAAGCTACGAGTTTCTGTTGAGACATCGAGAGCAGTGCCCGGAGAAATGATGAATCTTTCATTGCAAGACGGAGAGGGAAGATTCGGTGAGAGCTGTGGGTGAGTTGTGGACGGTCTCACGCGAGAAAAAATATTTAGTCAAAAATGAGCTTTTCGTACATGGCAGCAACGGTTTTACGGATGCAGCTTTCGTCCGGAATCCAGACGCAATACTTCTTTACTTATGCGAGGAAAGGGAAGTCTGGTTGGGGGATTTTAGGTAGGGTCGAGTATGGTGTGTGTTGGGAGGTAATAGCGGATATTACCCAAGGCATTTGTATATGTAAATCGCGGTATTCATGTGATATTGATTGAGGTGGTATTGCAATTCAGCACCATTTTAATATTATTAATATCACCTCATCTCAATATTGTTGATATCACCTCAATAGCACGCTAATATTGTCGATCCACACTTAATCTGTACGTATCATATTCGCATGTAATATTTTTTCGGGAGGAAGAGCTCAAGGATGCACGTAATCGTCGGAATTCATTAACAAAGGTTTAAAAAAGTGATTTTTTTTGGGTTTGAAATATGTTAAAGATAAGTTTTGAGTGCAACATATGCTAAAACCCCCGAATATATATTAATTAGATGGATCCTAGCGGAACCAAAATATTAAAATAGATCATATTAATCAAGTCGAAGCCATTATTTCTGACTTTCAACTTTTTTTAAAAAAATCAATCTGAAGCCGAAAACAATGTCTTGTTTATTTCGGTTTTAATTTTGACCCAATCGATTCACTTTGATTTCAAATTTTGATTAATTTTAAAAACAAATCGTATAATAAAACAATACCAAACCCCAAGAAACAAACTCAAGGAGCAGTTTTTAGCAATCAATATGAAATTAGAATGAACAAATTCAGTTTCTATAAAACATATAAAAAACTTAAAAATTATCTAACAAAAACCAAACTAATCCATTAATTTATATTAGTCTAACGCTACAGGCTGTGTGAACTAACCCGTCTTGCACAACTTTTCTTTTTCTCTTTTCCTTTGTTTTTATTGTCACTTTCTTTCTCTTGTTGGTCTATCAAGGAAGCTACGCAGCACTAACCTTCCCACTCAATCTCACACCCTAAGAAATCACCAATTGGCATCCCACAACTTCACATTTCCCAGTCATTCTTCCTGCATCTTTCCTTGCACTTGCTCCTCTATTTCTCAAACACCATCCCATCAAGCAAACGACCATATATATATATAAATTCATATCAACATATTTTTACATATGCTTTTACAAGACATTAATGGAGTTGGTCGGTTTGATCTTACTATATGGTCTCGTTGCCACTGTTCGATGCTGCACCGAGTTAACTCATTTCTTTTCATGCGGTGGTGCTTGTCGTCGGTTTTGTAGCTCTCGAGACAACGATGATGTGATCTCTGGTGATGAAATTGATGATGATGGGGGTGGAGAGGAGTTGACGGCTGATGACATAGCGGCGGTGTTGACGCGGTTGGGGATAGGTTATGGAGATGGGGGAGGGGAGGGGAGGAGAGTGGTTGGGCAGTTGTTGGAGGAAAAGGAGGCGAGTGAGTGGGAATTGAAAGAGGCCTTTTATGTGTTTGATAGGAATGAAGATGGTTTCATAACAGTTGATGAGTTGTGGAATGTGATGAGGAGGTTGGGGTTTGAGGAAGGGAGGAGGGTGGAGGATTGTGAGAGGATGATTAGGGTTTTTGATGAGGATGGTGATGGGAAGATTAGTTTTTTGGAGTTCAGGAGACTGCTAGAGGATTCAATATAGGTTTGGAAGTTTTTTTTTTTTAATGTATTTATGGAAAATTGAATCTTACAAAATATTAAAATTATGTATTGAGAATAGTGTTGTTCTTCGGATTGTGAATATTAATTAGAAATGAATAATAGACTATTTTTATTTACATAGTAATTTTCAAATGAACTCGGCATGTATGAAGTGTGAAGAATAAATATGCTTTAAATTTATCGATAAATTATTAGTGATAAAAAAAACAGTAGATTTCTTTGTGGAAAGTTGGCCGAATGTTTCACCTGTGTTGAAGATTTGTAGCTTTTTGGTGCTGCATTATATTTTTTTAAGGAAAAAGAAATTGTTCTGTTCAACTTGCTTGCTACCATTTAGTTTTGGTTTCTACTTTCACTTAGAATTAAAATATGATGTGATAATAAAACAATACATACATGTATATATGCGCCGCGTACTCAGATTAGTTGGTCGGTTATCTGCTTGTAAGTTCCCTTCTGGTTTGGGGTACAATTCCCCCCGAGTGTAGGTGTGACACTCGAATTCTTAGGCGCATGAAAGATGAGTGGGGCTCGTATAATAGTCTCCAGCCATTCCTGTATGTATATATATACACTCAAGGTAGAACAAAAATTATATGATACATTTACATACGTACCACCCAATTCCTATGTATTAACATATCATCCAGCCAAACATGATTCCTGTGTTTCTGTATATACGCTGTATAGGCTGTACGTAAATCTTCCCAATAAGTACATAAATATAAACATTGACGAGAACAATTGCTTATTTAAAGTAAAAAAAGTAGCAAGTCTCGGTGGTCCTCTTATGCAATTTATAAATCGCACTACTCTCCTCATGGTAATTGTTATATAAGCATAAATAATTTCTGAAATATAAATTTAAGTTGGAAAATTTATTTGTGTTATTTGGTGGACATAAAAAATTGATCTGCATGAATTTCGAGATAATAACAGTCCAGACCAAACAAAAATAGATAAATGGAATATTATCCGTTCTACGAAAAACAAAAGTACTCATGAAGCGTCGATCGACAGCCGAATCGTAGGATCGATCGACTAAAGGCCAGTCAGACGAACAAAGTGTCATCCAGACCGACTAGAAACAAACATTCACGTCAATGACTGAACAAAAGTCTAGTACTCCCAATAATTTCACAAGTATCAATGTGAGGTTCTCTCGACAACTCCCCCAAAGATCTCTAAAAATCATCATGGAATCATAATCAGACAATTTGATAAGTAGCCGACGGACGCCAGCTAGGTCGATTGACCTAAGGAGTGCCCAGCAGAAGGTTCAGACACACAAAAAAGGGGCTAAAATCAATTACAAATACGAAAAGACAAGACAAAAGAAAATAATGTCCCTATTAAAGTAGAGACAAATTGTAATTTTTCACATTTTGTTATCCATTTTCTATAAATAGAGGGTTCATAACATGTATTAGAGGCTTTTTAGCTTTTAAGCTTTTGCCTCTTTAGGCTTTGCTACTTTAGGCTTCTCTCTAGCCCCACTCTTGTAGGGAGATCTCTCTTTTCTTCTCTATTGTAACACCCTAGTTACAATATAAAAAGTAGGTCACAAAGTCTGGGAATACTCCAATTATGTGTGCGTGTTCATTTCTTCTTACTATCTCTATCTCTATTTCTCCCTGAAAATTTCTACCACTTGAACCTTGGGCATGCCTTAGAGGACGAATTTGGATTCAACATTCAGATTTATTACGATTATAAAATTGTCATTTATACAAAAAAAATAGCATTTATATAATTTAATCAGCTTGATTAATATGATTCGACTGGAATTGATTGTCGGTCTCCTGAAAGGTGATTGAACAAAGTAATCTATTCAGAGGAAGTAAATGATCAAATTATATCTATTTTATTAATAAAATTTCAAAATTTAAGGGGAGCAATTGCCCACCCTAGACAATACATGGGTCAGCCTTTGATGAGATAGGTGGCAAAGGAAATGGTAAGATGAGCACCATTCTTGTGGCCAATGAGTGTTGGGGTGCATTTTCTTATCCTCTGTACTAAACCAATCTCAATATCTCAACCACCCCATGCTTCTTTTAAGTCCCAAATTAGGATTGAGGGAAAAGTGACAAACGAGCAGGTAGCAAGTGAGGGGTGATGAGCATGACAATAAAAATGGGATAGCTGAAGTTAGAACATTGATTGACATGAACCTATAGATCTATGATGCTAGCACAAGAGAGAAAGAGGAGCTCCTTGTGTTATGGTTGGCAAGCATAGCTTAGTTGTGGCTCAAATATGTTTTATGATGGGAAGGCTAGATGAGGCGAAGATTGAATGACATGTTGGATGGTGGATGAGGTATGGCAATTAGAAAATATAAGCGAGTGTTGATGATGGTTTTCCAAAAATATCAAAATCGTTTAGTATGAGAAATTAGTTTGGTGGTTCTCCTAATATAAGGGTGATTGGATTATCTGGATTATCTAAACAGTGGGTGTTGAATAACGATTATTTAATAATACTGATTGGCAAGTTGTGATAAGCCATGATGAATGTTACTGTTGGGTCAATCGTTATTCAATAATAAGTAAAACATAAAAATTTTAAAGAGTATTCAATTTGAGTAACCTTGAAATCATCTTGCAAAGACATTTTTTTTAATCATAAGGATCTAAAATTGAAAAATTAATTAACCTCTCAATTTGTCCTAAGAAATTCTCCATTTGTTAAAACTTGTTTTATCTATGAATCGCACCCAAAGAATAGAGCATAAGTAAGGAGAGAGAGAATGTAAGAAAGAGAGAGAAAGAGAAAAGTGAACAATAATGAACAAAAATATATAGTATTGTATTCATAAAGTGATATTCCTATTTATAAGGGAAATAATAAAATTTTCTAGTGCTTCAAAGAGGGGTGTACCTGGTATTTCTTGTATTTTTCCTGTATGAGCTTATCGTCTACTGCTTTCTTGGTCTGTCTTCAGGTCAGTAAGATCAGCAATATTGACTGAGATTCGATCAGTTGGATAAGTTTGATTGATATGGCTCAACCAGTTTGATATGGTTTGACTGTAAATCCTTAACTCATGGTGAGGATCCCCCGGGCATTCTTGGGATGGGTGCAGATGCTAGGGGACCATACCTTGGATTAGCTCTTTTGTGATGGCTTTCATGCCTCATTTTTCCTTGTGTCTATTTGAATTACTCATTCTTGTACTCTTCAACCATCTTTGATCTGTTTCGTAGTTTGATCGGCTTTAGCCATACTAGCGTTGGCTCGGATAACATCACTAGGTCAAACAAATAAGCCTCATGATCTTTTATTTATTGTCCCTCTGTCACCGTACTTGTTGGCATCAATATTTAATATCATGAGTATAGAGTGTCCACCTGATTGACTTGGGATGATTCATTGTTCACTCATAACGTCTCGTAGCCCAAGACATCCATCTGTGACTTTCTAGTACGTGTTTGGGTCATGAAATCAGAGTTTGCAATGATTTAGCCTTGCTCGAAAGAATCCATTGTTGGATGGAATCATTCACGATATCAGACATGTTTGATGTCTCATATTCATATAAGATCTCTTGTGGTCAAGGGAAGTCGTGAAGCCCTTCTACATGTGTGTTAAGAAATTTGGGGTTTAAGGCACCCCGCTCGCGTTACAGCTTAGGGTGCCCTTCGACGATATATTCTCTGAAGAATGGCCAATAAAATATCTCATTTTTTAATTTATGGGATTTTATTTTAGTCATATGTAGTTTAACATAGAATATGAATCTAAGAAATCCTATGTTGGACGATCTATGAGAAAATCGGGATTTTCAGGCAAGACCGGCACCTAGGCGCCTAGAACAGCCCACACAGGGTTGAAAGCCAAGAAGACAAAAAGTAGATGTTGGTCCCGGGTGCCTAGGTGCCAAGTCCCAATACCTTGGCACCATTTTGGGATCTTAGGTGCCTAAAATAGCCCCGGACCGTCTCTAAATAAAGAGTGCAGAAAGTAGGCTTCTGAGGGGTGCTTTCTAGGCGTCGGACCCAACGCCTAGGCACTAAGGTGCAGTGCCTAGGTGCAGTCCACTTTTTAAACCCATTTTTTTCCCCCAACAACTTTGTCAAATCCCACTGAAAACACCTCTTAAGAAGTTGGAATGGATATTTAAGGGATATTTTGCAAGGGGAGAACTGGAACAACCATGTGTCCACGTTTTGGACACTTGGAGTTCTTGAGAGGAGAAAATCATGCAAATCTCCACAAAGGGGGAGAAGCAACCAAATTTCCCTTCTTTTCCTCCCTTCTTCTCTAGTTATAGTTGGTTTTCTTCTTGGGGGAATTCTTCTTCTTCTCAAGGTTTTGTGAGAGCTAGAGTGGTCTTCTTCCTTGGAGCTTGAAGACTTTCTTAGAGGCTTTGAGGTGAAGGGCAGTAGGGAAGTCTGGGAGAAGGTTTTGCTTCCTATAGCCCTCTCTTTTTATTCTTACTCTTTTTCCCTCACCAAAATCTCTCTCTCCTCATCTTCTTTATCTTCTTCCGTCGCTTTCTTTTAGTGTATGTGGAGCTTTGCTTAAGGAGGTGACATTATAGAGAGTAGGAGAGCTTCATCCTACTTGGGAGAAAGAGAGAGTCATCTTTCCTGATGATAAGTAGACCTTATACCCACCAAAATCAAAGTGTGTACAACTAAACAAAATACATTCTCAACCTTCACGACAGTGAGATTTCTTCCAACTTTCACTCTTACTTTCTTAGAGCCCCTAGGTATGGTTCTTAGAGGATTTAGGTTAGGGTTTTTGGGTCTAGAGGTAGCCTCATAGGTTAAGAGCTTTGGTGATTCCCCTATGAATCCAGCAGAAAAGCCATCTACTTAGCTTTAGCTCCTAAAATCCCTAATTCGGGATTCTGACAATCCCGCATTTGTAACGACGATTTCATTCTTTGAGTGGGAAGAATGAAATCCATTTGGAGGTCTAGAGAATGGGAATTCTTATAAGTTTCCTCATTCCCTAGACCACGAAGGG